GCGGCAGGAGAAAACGCCAGAGTCTCCAGACAGTGCCAGCCTCCATCCCAGCAGGGCTCAGCCGGTAGATCCAGAAACGTCTTGGTGTTCGGCTCCAAGAAGAAGAGATACGATATGGGCATGTGGAGCCACCCTCTCTGCTGCAGTGGGCTGGCTGTGGCTCACCTACACCCTGGTTCCTGCTCCAGGAAGGTGGCGGGGCCCAAAGGAAATTGCAGAGGCGTCTGGGTCAACAGAGACCAGTTTGAATCTTGACTCGGCGACCCCTTAGGGCATTCAGCGTGCCAGCAAGGAGGCCACGAGACAAGATGGAAGTAATTGCTGGAGTCAGGAGGACTTGGGTTTTTCCCCTGGGGTTTAGAGGACAGGGGGTAGATGCTGACCCTGGAGTGGTGTCAGGGTTCGGGCTGAGCACCGTCTCTCCACACCAATCCCACCACAAGAGCCAGATCAGAGAGGACCCGTTGCTGGGCCGCATCCTGCTCTTCAACAACCACTCGGGATGTGCCAGCCCTGTGCTGGCGGCTGGGGAGGCAGGGATGGAGGCCAGGTGTGCCCCTGTCACTGGACGGCCCAGGACAGTCATCCGCCCCGGACCCTGGGTTTCCTGCGTGGCGCCCCTGTTTCAGGCGGCTCCCTCGGCTGATCTATTAATACCTGCAGGTGCCCATTCTCTTTGTGATTTTTTTATCTTCCTCAGTTAGAGGGAGGTCATGTTCTCCTGCAACTCTCTGAGCACTTTGTCTTCTAGAATTATTTTCAGCTCTGGTAGAGAATAATTTTCAGGGCAGCATGCCTTCCCTGGTCACGTACACAGCACCGGCGGCTCTTCCCGCGGTGCTGCGCCTTCTCGCACACTCCCACGTGACAGTAGCTGCTAACACGGCTGCTATTGCTTCTGCTGTTCTCCCGGCCTGGACCTCACACGCCGACAGCCCCATGCCAGCCCTCTCTGCTCTCACCTGACAGGCAGGGCGCGGGGTTAGCGCTCAGGGCAGCTAAGGAATTGAGGCTTTGCCCAACCAGGTGTGACCCTGGGCTCTGGAGGCCACTTCCAGGGGCTGACATGTGAAATTGTCAGTCATTGTTCTCAACATCAAGGAGGTGACCCTGCTTCCCGGTCCAAGAACACCACCCAGCTCCTTGCCTGGACAAGGCACACTCGTAGGCTCATTGTTTTCCTTTGTTTTCTTTTACTTCCCTGCAAACGACCTCGAGTGACCACTGTTGAGTGTGACTATGCACACAGCATAATTAGAATTTGTGATGACTATCGGCCTCCCCTCTGTCCCCACTACCTTTCACCCAGGTCCTCACAGGCTCTCATGCTGACTTTCCCTTCTTGAACTGTCTTATGCTGTGCGCTTGTGTGCATGCATGCGTGTGTGTGTGTGTATGTGTGTGTGCATGTGTGCGTGTGTGTGTGTATGTGTGTGTGAGTGTGTATGTGTGCGTGTGTGTATGTGTGTGTGTGCATGTGTGCGTGTGTGTATGTGTGTGCGTGTGTGCGTGCATGTGTGTGAGTGTGTGCACATGTGTGCATGCATGTGTGCATGTGTGTGCATGTGTGTGTGCACATGTGTGCATGTGTGTGTGAGTGTATGTGTGCACCCCTCTGTGTGCACTTGCACCTCTTCACTAGATTCTGGTTGGTAGAAACCCTGTACTTATACCCCGAGTTCAGTACAGAGCTAAGGTGGCAGACATCTGTAAACGTTTGCTTGTTGACTTCAACTGAAGGCAGCAGTTTATCCTTTCCAGTTCTAGAAACAGCAGAGTGGCTCCAATGATGGGCGCCTGAACACTGAAATCAGCATGTTGAGAGAGTGACTACTGACACTCTAGCCATCTTCATGGCAGTCTGTGGTGTGTGTTAAATAGAAAAGTAGATATTTCTGCCCTTCCTCTCACCTGGAAACTGCTGTGACATTTTTCAGCCACATCAACAAATGCAGGGCCTACCATGGTGCGACCGCATCTGTCAGGTAGGAGGATGAGGTCACCTGGACAGCTGCTGGGGTCAGGCCTGGGGTCACCGATGGGCCTGTGGAGGGAGCTATTCTAAAGCTCAGGGGCCAAAAGGAAGATTGGAGAATTCCAGGACTCCGGAGTGACTTGAGGGGGGTTGGTTTCCTGGGTCGGCATCCCCCTTTTCAAAGCTCTACAGTTTTTCTGTGTGGGGTAGGGTTCTAGAATCATTGGAGCTCTTCTCCTCCTAGCCACACAGACTACTTAAGAGACAGCTATCCTGTCTTGGAACATATCTATTGTAAAGCTGTGAGCTTTGATAATTTTTATACCTATGTGACTATTGGAAATTCTGAAAATTTGAACTGAATCATTATTAACTATCAAAGAGAAGCACCAGTGAGGACATTTCTAGCATCTCACAATGCTCCTACTTGTCGTCAGAGTGGACCTGGCATGTCATCTCATTGTATTCTCTCAGGGATGCCAAGTGTGCTTGCTTTGTCGTTCATTCCTTACACACGTGGAGCTGAGGATCAACTCACGCAGGATCACAGAATTGGCAGCCAGGTGTTCCACTCCTGATTCTTACTATTCCACCGTATGAGCAAATTTACTTTGTACACAGTAAATAAAAACTCCTTCACTGGGAGGGTATTTATTACATACCAAGCAACAAAAGTCACAGGCAGTTTATGTGCAGGTGAAAGGAGGATGAGAGATGCCGCGAGGCTTATTTCTGTGTGGGTTTATTTGGAGTAATCTCTTTATGAAGGGAATTGGAAGGCTAAAAAGCAAAAAAAAAAAAAAGGAGAAAAAAATGAGACATTACCTTACTTGCCAGACAGTGCTCCTGCCTCACCTTGACAGCCGGTGTGGATGCGCTGCTTCGCAGAGCGAGGCAGCCAGCCAGGTCCGTCCTGATAATCCGGCGCCCCTTCTACATATCGGCCTCCCTTTGCAGGAGGCACAGTTAATCTCTTCCACATGACACAGCCACAGACGTTCTTTTATTAATACAATCCAGGACTATGACCCAGTGCAGTCCCCATTTCAACCCCATATTAAAACAGGTAGCCATCAACTGTCTCCTGAAATACCCCTGGAAAATATTCCTCCCGCTTGGTATGAACCCTTGGACAAATTCACCTGTCCAGGTGCACACAAACCCATCTTCTAGTTTACCATTCAGCAAAGGCAATCAGTGCAAAGCGTGCTAGATATTGTTTCTCATGAAGGTGAATGAGACACTTAGCTACAGCAGCGACCAGAAACACAAAGGGTCCTTATCGACATGCCGAAACCCTACAATCCAAACAAAATGCAATTCTCCCAGACCATAATCTTGTCAAATGAAGAAGCTGATTTGTTTAAAATAACCCAGTCTTAGAGTTTCATGGAACCCACAAAAGCAACCAGTGATTACAGCTTCATTTTGTTGTAGCTTATAAACTATTGTTTCTAAAAACTCCATTCTAAAATATTTCCTGAGAATATTGTCACTACTCTGTTGTTTGAGGAAAACATATTATTAAGTTTTGTTTTGTTTGTTTTGTTTTGTTGTGGTCATATTGGTTTTTTCCATCTCATTTATACTAACACACGTCACTTTCTTAAGGTTTCAGGGGTAAACTCTCTGATGCTTATGAAAGTGACTGCACTTGGAAGGTCTAGGAATGTTTCTGATCAAAATAAATGCTGAGCTCAGAGCCAGGGGCAGGCAAGGGGCTCTGGGCTGGGTGGGGTGAGGCGGGGAGAAATTTAAAGACAAAAGAAACAGCAAATGAAAGAAGAGTTCACATCAAAATGCAAAAGCAATTCTCCCAAATCCAAGAGTATTTTAGGCAAATTATTAGGACCAATATGAGAGAAAGTTTTATACATAAGGCCAACATACAAAAAAATAAATATTCACCATGGACAACAAATCAGAAAATGTAATTTATGAAAGAGGATTGCCTTTACAATAGCAAGAAACTATTAATATATGTCTGGTGAAAAATTCCACAGAAGTGGCACAAAATCATCATGGAGAAATGTTTTCAATTTTCTTAAAGTACATATAAGAAGACCTGAAAAACTGGATTGGACACCATGGCTGTAAAGACTTAATATTGTATCAATGTCACTTTTGCCCCAAATAATTCACAAGCGAAGTTATTTGATGAAATTTCCATCAAAATTCCAAACAACAGTTCCATGGAGTTTGTTGGGGTAATTTTAAAGGTCATTTGAAAAAGTAAAGGTACAAAATAGTTGAGACAATTTTGGAGTCAGAGTATAATTAGAATAAGAAAAAAGACTGGCACACCACACCAAATACCAAGACTATGGAAAAGATCTAGGGATTGAAAGAGTGTAGAATTGACTTGAGGAGAAACAAGCCAATTTAACAAAATAGAAAACCCAGAAATAGGCCCACACATTTATGGAAACTTGAAGTAGGGCAGAGATGACATCAATCAGTGAGGAGAGGAGGGACAGTTTAATAAGTGGCGCATGACAACTGAATTTCCATGTAGAGAAAGACAAAATCATTCCACACTGTATTGATTAGTTTCAATAGATCAAAGATTCAACCACTTACTAGAATTGTGATCTAGTTACTAACTTCCCTGCCTCTCAGTTTCCTCATCTGTAAAATTGAAATAATAACAATAAATAACTACTGGGGTTATCAAGAAGATTAAATGAGATAATTTTTGTACATCACTTAGAACAGCGCCTGGTACATTGAAGTGTTTGTTAAACTAAAAAATTAAAGTTAAATTTTAGAGACAAAAGTGAAAACTTCTGGAAGAAAATATATACAAATATTGTCATGACATCAGGAAAGGTGGGAATTTTTTTCACTAAGTGCAAAAATCATGAACATGAAAAAGAATAAATTTGACAGCATTAAAGTTTACAAATCTCTGTAACTAGGGATATCATAGCTATCCTTTTAGTTTGAAATCTACCCCAAAAGCAAGAGAAGATATTTACAATGGGTATAATAGAAAATATTCAGCATATATAAAGAACTGCTACAGAGAAGAAAAAGACAAGCCAATGGAAAATGCGAACAAAGGATATGAATAGTCAGTGCAAAGAAGAAGAAACCCAAAATCAGCAAACACATGGACGGCATTCAGTCTTGCTGATAACCAGAAAAGTACGCAGGTGCCCATTAGTCTAGCCATGCCTGAGGTGGAATATGGGAGTCAGAAATGTTCATGCCGTGCCGGTGGAATTCTAATTTAAATAACCACTCTGGAGAGAAATGTGGCATCATGCAGAAAGTGCAAACTCAGCATACCTTGGGGTCCAGCATAACCCCCCACCCACAGGCTTCCCATTTTTCCATAAGTGGTAACCCCATTTTTCCAGTTACTTAGATCAAAAGCCCTGGAGCCATCTTTGACTCCTCTGTTCCTCTCACAGCACATCTCACTTCTCAGAACGTGCCCCGGTCCATTTGTGTCGCCGTAAGGGAATCCCTGAGGCTGGGTAATTTATAATGAAAAGAATGTCTTGGCTCACCGCCCTGCAGGCTGCACAAGACACACGGCCGACACTTGCTCCGCGAGGGCCTCGGGAAGCTTCTGCTCATGGTGGAGGGCGCTGGCGTGTGCAGGTCGCACAGCGAGGGGGGAAGCGCGAGGGGAGGCACCGGGCTCTTTGAAGCATCAGCTCTGGAGGGAACCAACACAGCCAGAACCCACGGTGGCGAGGAAGGCGCCCAGCCGCGCGTGGGGGGCTGCCCCACAGCCCACCTACAGCACCAGGACCACGTTTCCACGTGAGCTTTGGAGGAGTCACGTGTCCGAACCATAGCAGAAAGCCTCCTGGCTTTTTGGCAACATATATGCAGAGTTCTTCCACATCTGTCCACCTCCACCAACACCCTCGGGTCCCAGCCACCATCATCTCTCTCCCGGACCATTGTAAGAGCCTCTTACTCTCCTCTGCTTCCACACTGGCTGCCTTTCCAAGTATTTTCAGCATATCGGCCAGCGTGGTCCTGTTAAAACAGAAGTCAGAGCATGTTACTCCCCAGCTCAAAACCCCCACAGCCCCCCATTTCACTCAGAACAAAGACCCAGTGACATGCGTGGCCGCAGGACCCCCACGATCTGGCCCCCATTTGCTCTCTGCCCTCATCTCCCAGCGTCCCCGCTTCCTGCCTCTGCTCCAGCACCTGGGCCTCTTCACGGTCTTTGAATCTGGAGCACGTTTCCACCTCAGGCCTTCGCACTTGCAGGCTCCTGTGACTGGACTGCTTGTCCCCACCAATCCTCCTCCCTTAACCCTGACTCGCGAGGCGCCTTCTCAGAGTGGCCTTCCCCCCAGGGCCGACCCCCTCCACTGCGAACACACGCTCGCGTGGTCCGCCGCCCTCTGCTCCCCTATGATTCGGGGCCGTCCCGCGCCTTTCAGATATAAGTCTTGGGAGGAAGGACTGTTTGTCCCTTCTGTTCACTGCGACATCCTTCAGTACATAGTCAGAAGTCAATTAACGTTACTGAAATAAGTGACTATAAAAATTGTAAAGTTACAGTCTTCCAGGCACTGTGTTAAGGCCTGGAAAACAGAAGTGGAGAGGGCGGGGGAAGAAAAAGAGACCTCATCTTCAGGGAACTAAAAAAAAGTAAGCTAACATGTATACATATGGGTATATAATTTAAAATAATTAAGGATGCTATGAAGGAAAATTCTGTCATCTCCACCCCACTGGGCTGGTTGTTTTTGTTTTATTTTATTTTATTTTCTTATTGCTATATTAACTGTGAAAGCGCATCCTCCCTTTCATAAGAATACATCATTTATTGGTGTTCTCAATTGCTCCACTGTGACTATCATGGGATTTGGGGAAGTCAGAAATTCATGTTTCTGTCCTTTGTTGCGGTGTCAAACGGGGACCTCGCTCAGATGTTTCATTGGTGACTATAAGCCTGGATGACAAATTGGAGGACTCCTTTCTCCTCTCGTAGATGCCCTGCAGCCTGTCAGACGGCAATGCTCTCGAACCCTTGGGAACGCCAATATCTAAGCACCTGGCAGAGCAGACTCTGAGAGGTGGGGCTTCATGTCTCCTTTTGTTCATGGAATGTCACAAGTTTTTTATGACTAAAAAAGGACCTCCTTGCAGTGGTGAGCTGCAGATGGTTTTTGGAACATGGAGCCCCAAATCACCAACTTCTCATTATTTCTTCCAGCCCAGCCCTAAATCCACACTCAGTTGCATTTAAAAAGGAGGTGAAAGATCTCAGGAAAGAAGCCATAGAGCGCTTGAAGATTACACTGGATGAAGAGAATCATCTTTACTGAACCCAGAGATAAAGAGAAGGGCCGGCTCCTGGGGAACCCGCCAGCAGGCCGGAGCACACGCTCTCCTGGACTGGTGCACCCTGAACTCTGCTCTTATGTAACTCAAAAGTTTTGTCTTTTCGCCTCTTTATTTGGCAGGCATGGATCTGTTTTTTATTGTCTTCGCCACATGTTCTCTCCTTGGTGCATGTTGCAATTGTTGACTTGTACAGCCTCAAAAAGAAACAAAGCAAGCCTCCAAGAAGAGCAGAAGTTGACCAGACCCAAAAGCAACTCATGGAGTTTGAGCTGAACTCACTCAGAGCAGGGCAAGAAGACAGAGGCTCACAAAACGCCTCCGTCTGCACCAGAGACCAGGGCCAAGCATCTGCGTCCAGAAGCCCCTGCGCCTGCATGAACCTGCACACGGCCAGCTGCGCTCGGAGCACTGAGGCATGGGCCGTCTTGCCTTGGCATCCCTGTGTTTCTAGCCCCAGCAAGCTGGGAGAGTTCTCACAGATTCCATCAGCCGTGGCAGTAGGTCTACCCCCCGGTTTACATGACGTGCGTTCCAGGCACACTGTGCCCGTTGACTCAGTGGCACATTCTCTAACCCCCCTGGTTGCATCAGCCTTTTCAGTGGCCCACAGGTGCCTGGCTGTAGACTGCACATTTCAACTGCCCAGCCCCCCAGCTCAGGCCGGGCAACCAGCTCCTGTCTCAAGACGCAGCGTGACCTTGTGTGCCTGGTCCCCACACTGCCCAAGAGTCGCCCCTCCTGACCGCTAACAGCATAGATGAATCCACAGGAGACCGTTCGGATCACAATTGCCTTATTATTACTCGTGCAGTCCACAGTTACCCATGTCTACGCCTCATTCCCCACCCTTTCATCTGTTTATCCACTCACAGGCAGTGCCGCGAAGGACACGAATCCCACTGGTTTGATTCTTATGCTCACAAGGCCTCCATTTCCTCATCTTCAAAATGAGGACAACAGTGTAAGGCGACCATGAGGAGTAACTAGGAGAACATGTGTCACATGCAGCAAGAACGCCCCTCCCAGCCCATAGAAGGCAGCCCGTAAGTTCCTTCCTCTTTCCTCTGTTCATTCCCGCCATTCTCTCTCTTTCTCTTTCACTCATTCATTCCTTTTTGCTTGTTTTCCTCAGCAGTGTCTCCTAGAAGCAGCCTCTGGCGCCTCCCACCCTTGGCAGCTGCCAGCACAGCCGGTTCCCAGGGGGCCGCCCCCCCGGCCGCTCCGCGCCAGCCCGCCCTCACACCAGGTGCAGAGACCACTCCACGCAGCCCCAACCCCATTGGGCAGGCATGGCAGCTGCCAGGCCTGTGTTTCCACCTACCCCTGTCCTGATCCTTCTGATGGGGCCACCCCTGACCCCAGACTCCTCCTCTCAGTGCCCTGCCCTGACCTCCCAGTGCCTCCGCCCTCAGTGCCGTCACTCACCGCCAGCACCCACGTTCCCTGGCCGTATCTCCCCAGCCGCCTTCAGCCAGTTTCCTGACCTTCCATGTTCCTTACTTTTGGATTTCTTGAACCTGCTCCTCCCCCTTACCCATTTCCTCTGCCTTAATTCAGGCCAGCACTTTCCTTCCCTGATTGCAGTGATCCCGCATCCCGGATCCTGCCTCCAGTAGGCTCTCGCCAGTGCATTCCCGCGGTGGGATCCAGCCCTACCCACTGCCGGCACTCCCTGCAGGTACCAGCCCCTCCCACCTCCGCTCACACCCTCACAGCAAGATCTCACCCTGAAGCTCCCCGCCCTCTTCACCTCCCCCTGGTCCCCAAGTCCTTCTGCCACGAGCCAGTGTGTTTAGTGATGAGGGCACAGCCATGCACAGTCTTTGCTCTGGGGACCTCACGGCCTGCAGGTGATCACCTCACAGGGAGCAGGTGATAAGGCAGTGCCCAGTTTCCAGGACTCTCGCTGACTGTCCTGCACATATTGAGCTAGGACAGCACCATGCTAGGCAGGGGCGGGGACGCCGGGACGCGGGAAAGCACACAGAATGGTGCTCACCATCTGGAGCTCACGCTCCCACATGTGATCTCTCCAGCGGTGGCTGATGCAAAGGTTCCAGGGTGTCTCTGTGGGAACAGCTGTCCCCTTAGACCAAAGCATCCCTCCATGGGAACAGCTGTCTCCTCCGTCTGAAGCACCTCTCCCCAGGGGGCCGCGGCCATGGTGGCCTGTGTCGAGAGACTGTCTCACTCTGGACATTTCAGTGGGGGTGAGACAGAAACGCCTTCACCCCTGCATGGGTGATTCGGGCTGCAGCTGGATGGGCTGGAAGTTAATGGCTGGACAGTGAAGTGGTTACCAGACCCGGGTCACTGCCTGACCTGTCAGCAGCCTGTTCCAGGTCACCTGGCAGCCCGTTGTCCATCTGTCTGCCCAGCCCGTGAAGTGTGCAGCCTCCAGAAACTGCCCTCTGAGCAGGAGGCTCTGTGGCCGTCCCACCCAGAGCCCCCCAAGAGATTGCCTCGTTGCCCTCAACGTTGCCTCACAGGGAACCCGGAGATTGCAATTGCGTGCCTTCCAGATTATCAGAAGAAAGAAAAGGCGAAGAAAATATAGACCATTTAGCGAAATGTATTAAATAGAAATCACAAATAACCACGAGAAGGAACATGAGCTGTAGAATGATAGTAAGAGCAAGGATGCCTGTTACAACAGTCACGGAAATGAGATACGCCCAGCTGCAGTCAAAGTACAGTTTGCTACGGAAATGAGGACTCCTCAGCAAAGCCACCCAAGAAGGCCGAGAGAGAGAGACAGCACACAGGGACACCAGACACGGCAGAGAGGGACAGCACACAGGGACACCAGGCACGGCAGAGAGGGACAGCACACAGGGACACCAGGCACGGCAGAGAGGGACAGCACACAGGGACACCAGGCACGGCAGAGAGGGACAGCACACTGGGACACCAGGCACGGCAGAGAGGGACAGCACACAGGGACACCAGACACAGCAGAGAGGGACAGCACACTGGGACACCAGGCACGGCAGAGAGGGACAGCACACAGGGACAAAAGACACGGCAGAGAGGGACAGCACACAGGGACACCAGACACAGCAGAGAGGGACAGCACACAGGGACACCAGACACGGAAGAGAGGGACAGCACACAGGGACACCAGACACGACAAAGAGGGACAACACACAGGGACACCAGACACTCTTGGACAGAAATGAGGAGAAGGGGGGGCGGCTTCTGTATTAATACCACAAAACTAACTGAATATTAAGTTTAAAAGGCATTAGAATTTCACAAAAAACACATTATAATAATGAAATATATAATTCATAATAAACATTTCACTGTCATCATCCTTTGTGTGCCAAATTATATTCTACTAAATATGACATATCTAGAAGAGAAAACCTCCTTATCGATGCCTCATTATCAGAAATAGACACATGCACCCTCCGCATCAGTCTGCGTACCCTTACCCTGGTTGGTTATTATGCTCATAAGTACATAAGTTATAGCAGTTAAGTTTACCTCGTGCTATGGTTTGAATATTTGTTCCTCCTTAAAACTCATGTTGCAATGTAATTGCCATGGTAATGGCCTTAAGACGTGGGACCTTTAGGAGGTGATTAGGCCATAAGGGCTCTGCCCTCACGAATGGATTGATGCCATTATTGTGGGGGTGAGTTTGTCCCTTCCCTCTCCCCCTTTTCCTCCTGCTCCCTCTTTCTCCCTCTCATCTTGCACCATGGATGGCACAGCAAGAAGGCCCTCGCCAAATACCAGTGCCTTGATACTGGACTTCGCAGCCTCGAGAACTGTGAGCCAATAATTTCTGTTCCCTATAAACCACCCAGTCTCAGGTATTCTGTTATAGCAGCACAAAACAGACAAAGACACCTGATTATTGTCTCTGTCTCCCCTACTAGATAGTAAATTCCACACAATTCCAAAGGCCTACAATAATAACTATATGTTAAGCATTCAATACTTATTTATTGAATGAGACTGTTAATAACAAAATGAGAAAGAAAATGCTCAAATTAGAAATGGCAAAGGAAAATGTATTCCACAAAGGACATTAAAGCAATTAAAAGAGAATATTTTGTTCAACCATATGGTAATAACTGATAAAACTTGAATAATATCAAAAATTTTTCCTAGGAAAGGTAAATTGCCACTATTAACCGAAATATAAGCTAAAAAAAGAAATATTAGTATTTGACCATATAGAGAAAGCGCTCTGTGTGTGTTTGTGTGTGTGTGTGTGTGTGCGAGTGTATATGGCAAGCAAAAATATATATATAAATATATATCTCCAAAACTATGAATGTTCTATATTATTAATTAGAAAAAAAATGTGATTGGCAAATTAACAGCAAGCAATTCTATAGGGTTTATAGCCAAGAGACAAATTACTGGGCAATTAGGTATTCACATCTTCAGCTTTAATAGGTTACGCCATATTGTTTTCTAAAATGATTATATTATACCCCACCTGCAATGTATAAGAACTCCTGTCGTACTATATCCTTACCAAACCTGATACGGTCATGTTTTCCATTTTTGCCAGGTTGGAGATTTTAAAATTTTACATCATTGTGGTTTTAATTTGCATTTCCCTAATACCTAATAAGGTTAAGCATTTTCCATATATTCAATGGCTTTTGACATTTCTTCTACAAAAATATGACTTTTGACATTTGTTCTTCTATAAAATAAAGCTTCAGTTTTTCTATTGGGTTCTTTGTCCTCTTGGTTTGTAGGTTTATTTACATGTACTAAATACTAATCCTTTGTGGTTATATCTGTTGGGAATGTCTTTTCCTTGTTTGTGGCTTGTCTATTCACTTTCTACATAATACTTCTTGAAGAACATAAGTTCTTAATTTTAATGTGGTTGAGTTTGTTAATCTATTTCTAGTGTGTGCTTTCTGCATTTGGCTTAAGAAATATTTCCCCACCCTGCAAGTCATAAAGTTATTCTCCTAAATATCTTCTTCCAAAAGTTTTTTTAAATATTGCTTTCACATTGACATCTTTAGAACTCTTTTGTGTGTAGTGTGATTTATGAATCTAATCTCATTGTTTTACAAATGGATGATCACCTATCACATATCAAGTTTCCATCTAAGAAAGGGTCTGTTTCTGCACTCTTTTTCCCACATGACTAATGCACTATGTCTCTCTACAATACTACATTGTCTTAATTATCAAAGCTTCATAAAAAGCCTTGATTTCTTAGAGGCCAGGCATCTCCACTTAGCACTATCTCTTGCAGAAAATCATGACTATATTTGTTCTTTTCCTCATCATATGAATTTTATTAACAGCTCATAAATTTCCAAGAAAAATTGAGTTGGGAGTTTGATTAAAATTTTGTTGAATCTGTGGATCAACTTGTGGTGAATTGATATCTGTATGAATATTAAGTATTCCTGTCCATGAAAATGGTATATCACTCCATTTATTTAGATTTTCTTTTCTAGTAAAATCTTATAATTTTATTTATAAAGATGTTATACAGTTTTATTATATTTATTTCTAGGTAACTTTCTCTCTTCATTCATTTTACAAACACTTATGTATCAATTACTATGAGCAAGGTACTGCTCAAAGCATTTTGTATATACTAACTCCTCAAACAAATATATGTCTCAAACAAAATGAGACAAGCATTGTCTCATTATCCCACTTTTCAGATAAAGATACTGAGGCAAAAAGAGATTAAATAACTTGACCATATGAAGCGTAGAATTATTTTTTCTAGATCTGCAAAAAATGATGTTGGTATTTTAATAAGGATTACATTGAATCTGCTGATCACTTTGGGTAGTATAGACATTTTAACAATGTTGATTCTGCCATTCCATCAGCATGGTATTGTTTTCCACTTGTTTACATCCTCTGCTACCTCCTTCCTTAGTGTTTCTTAGTTCTCCCTGTAGAGCTCTTTTAACTCCTTAGTTAAATATGTTCCTAGGTATTTTATTTTCTTTGTTGCTATTGTGAAGGGTATTGAGTCTTTAATTTTGTTCTCAGTTTGACTATTGTTGTTGTATAGGAATGCTACTGATTTCTATACATTGATTTTGTAACCTGAGACTTTGCTGAATTTGTTTATCAAGTAGTCTCATGGAAGAATCTTTGGAGTTTTCTAGATATAAGATCATATCATCAGCAAAGAGCAATAGTTTGACCTCTTCTGCCCCCATTTGCATGCCCTTGATTTCCTTCTCTTGTTGGATTGCTCTGGCTAGGTCATCCAGCACTATGTTGAATAGAAGTGGTGATAGGAGGCAACCTTGTCTGGTTCCAGTTCTAACCTAAAATGCTTTCAATTTTTCCCCATTCAGTATGATGTTGGCTGTGGGTTTGTCATATATAGCTTTTATCATTTTTAGGTAAGTCCTATTTATACCTATTTTGTTAAGCGTTCTTATGATAAAAGGGTGCTGAATTTTGTCAAACTCTTTTTCTGCATCTACCAGAGAAGACCCCATATAGAAAAAGCAATCTTAAGCAAAAAGAACAAGTTGGGAGGCATCAATTTACAAGGCTTCAAGCTATATAACAAGGCTATAGTAACTAAAAATAGCATGATATTGGCAGAAGATCAGAGACATAGACCAATGGAACAGAACAGAGAACCCACATATAAAACCATCCTCATATAACCATCTAATCTTTGACAAAGCAGACAAAAACATACACTGGGAAAATAATCCTTATTCAATACATGGTGCTGGGAAAATTGGATAGCCACATGTAGAAGATTGAAACAGGATCTGCACTTCTCGCCTCACAAAAATCAACTAACTGTCGATAATAGACTTAAAACTAAGGCATGAAACTGTAAGAATTCTAGAAGAAAATGTTGGAAAAGCTCTTATAGACATTTGCTTAAGGAAAGAATTTACAAATAAGACCACAAAGGCAATCACAGCAACAGCAAAAATAAATAAATGTAACCTAATCAAATCAAAAAGCTTCTGCACAGCCAAGGAAACTCTCTGAGAGTGAACAGACAACCTACAGAATGGGAGAAAATATGTGCATGCTACATATCCAATAAAGGGCTGACAACTAGAATCTATATAGAACTCAGGAAAATCAGCAAGAAAAAATCAAACAACCTATCAAAAAGTGGGCGAAGGACATGAACAGAAACTTTTCAAAAGTAGACTCATGGCCAAGGAACATGAAAAAATGCTCGACATCTCTAATCATCAGGGAAGTGTACATCAAAACCACAATGAGATATCACTTATCTCCAGTGAGAATGCCCTTTGTCAAAAAGTCCCAAAGTGTTGATGTGGATGCAGAGAGATAGGAACAGTCACACACTACTAGTGGGACTGCAAACTAGAACAACCTCTGGGGAAAGTAACATGGAGATACCTCAAAGAGCTACAAGTAGAATTACCATTTGATCCAGTAATTCCATTACTGGGCATCTACCCAAAGGAATAAAATACATTCTATAAAAAAAGAAAATCTGCACTAGAATGTTTATAGCAGCACAATTCACAATTGCAAAGATGTGAAAACAACCCAAGTACCCATAAGTGGATTAATAAAATGTGGTATATGTATACCATGGAGTACTACTCAGCCACAAAAAACAATGGTGGTCTAGTACCTCTTGTATTATCCTGGATAGAGCTGTAGCCCATTCTACTAAGTGAAGTATGAGGTAATGGAATTAGCTGGTAATGGAATTAGCATGGTTGTATGTTAATTAGCTTGATTTAGTCATTCCATAATGGAAAAACAAGCACCACATGTACTCACCATCAAATTGGTATTAACTGATCAGGACTTATGTGCACTTATAGTAGTAACATTCACTGGGTGTCAGGCAAATGGTAGGGGAGAAGGGAATGGGTATATTCACACCTAATGGGTGCGGTACGCACCATCTGGAGGATGGACACGCTTGAAGCTCTGCCTCAACTCAGGTGGGGAAAAGGCAATATATATAACCTAAGCATTTGTACCACCATAATATGCTGAAATTTAAAAAAAAGGAATTTAACCAATGTCACATAAATATAAATGATGAAGGGAGAATTTGAACCTGAGTTCATACTATTAACCAATACACAGGTCAATTTCAAATTTATTTTTAATAATAATTTATAATGCTATTTTTAGTGTATAAAAATCCAAATCACTTGTATGTGGATTTTATATCCAGCATCCTTGCTAAGCTCTTATTGATGCCAATGATTTCATCGTAATGTTCTGTGGGATTTAGCATATAGACAATAATATATCTGCGAATAATCATATTTCTAATTCTTTCTTTCTAATTTTTATTGTTTTACTTTTTTACCTTTTTAATTGACAAAAATTGTATATATTTATGGTGTACAACATGACGTTTTGATATATGTGTGCATTATGGAATGACTAAATCAAGCTAATTAACATATCCATTACCTCATACACTTATCACTTCTCTATGAAGAAGCATTTTAGTTCTATGCCATCCCATTTGTCCATTTTTGCTTTTGTTGCCTGTGCTTTCGGGGTGTTGCCTAAAACTTCTTTGCCGAGACTATGTCAAGAAGCTTTTCTGTTTCCCTGTAGCAGTGTTACCATTTCAGGTCTTTAATCCACTCTGAGTTGATTTTATTATACCTCTCAATTAATTTGCTAGTCTTATTTTGAGCTTCTCAAAGATTTTATGTAAGATTAGAATTTTCAATTCTTTGAGTATTCAGTAAAACTGGCTTATGAAATTAGCTGTGCCTGGTGTTTTCCTTAAGGACATATTTTTTTAAAGTAAGGATTCATGTTTATCATAAACGTAGGTTGACTCGGGTTTACTATTTCTTCTCAAGTCAGTTTTGGTAATTTATATTTCCAATAAATATTTCCACTTCACGTGATTTCAGATTTATTATCATAAAGTTGTTCATTATATTCTATTTTTTTTTTACCTTTTGAATCTAATTCTATTTGTGATTACACCCTGTTTCACTCCTAGCATTGGTTTGTTTTGGTTTTGGTTTTGGTTTTAATGTCTTCCCTCCATTTTGTTGAAGTTTATGAATCTAAGGATTGGTATTTGTTCTTTTCATCCCTCCCTCCACTCAGAACCAAGCCCAAGTCAGCAAGCATCTATCCCAACTCTCATACTCCAGAACCAGGGATCCATCACCTCTTCTGTCCAGGGCCAGAGAGTAAATATTTTCTGCTCTGTGGCCCACATGGTTGCAACTACCCAATCCTGCCTTGTTTTTCAGAAGCAACCATGGATACCATGATAATGAAATGCTGTGGCTGCGTTGCAGGGACACTCCACAAGTCAGGCGGCAGGCTGGGTCTGGCTCACAAGCTGGAACTGGACTTTCCAGCTCTAGATTCCAGAGCTGGAGTGTCTGGCACGTTAGCCACTAACTGTTTCAATTTGTGACAATTTAAATTAGTAAAAATTAAATATTTAAAGCTTAGATCTTTGGTCACACTAGTCACACCACGAGTGTTCCACACCCGCACGTAGCTGCTGATGTGGAGGGAGCATTTCCATCGACGCAGGTCTTGGCGCTGAGTGCCGCTCTGACGCATGGACTTCCCGCTTCACCCACCGAAGTCATCTTCTTTCATGGAGTTCTTTAATTGGTGCAGAACCTCAATTAGACCCCTAGGCTTTTTCTTTTGTTCCACTGTGAAGCCTATACAAAGCCAAGCTCCAGGTCCCAGCCTTTATAGACAATGTTAACTGCCTGTCCGCACGCCACTCCAGGGACGAAAACTGAGCGGAGCTTGCTTACCCATCCAGCTTAGAGCCTCTTGATCACTTCTAGCCTTTAAGGACATTCTTTATCTTCATACGATTAACCATGCACTTTAAACATTTTTTTTTATATTCCCTCCAGCATCTTTAGATGATCTGCTCTGGTTTGGTTTTTCTATCTATCTGCTCAGTCATATACCAAAAACGGAAATCTCATCACTGGATTTTGCCATAGAACACTTTTTTCTCTTTCTTCTTTTCTTTCTTCCTTCCCTTCTTCTTTCTTTCTTTTTCCCTCTCTTAGAAAGTGTGGGGGAAAGTCTGACTCCTGTGGCTAAGTGGAAAGCTCCCGTTCCCAAACACTAGCCAAGATATTACCTGGGGTGTGGGCTGAGAGCTCCCACCTGAGGGGACAATCCGACTCCACATTCTCCATACACCCCTGACACACAGTTCCCCATGTGCGTTTGAAGTATTGTGATAAAGGGTGATTTCCAGCGAGTCTGTTTCTGATGGGTTTGTCCTTAGGTGGTTTAACTGGTCACTTCTAGGGAAGAACTGTCTGGCCAAGTTTAATTGAGGACGATGTGAAAGAACATTCTATTACCCAGAGAGTAAATGCATGTGTCCCGTGGGAGGAATAAAGAAAAAGCAAATGGCAGCAATTCTGGGAAAAAACCAAGTACCTTTTCCCAGTGGGACCAAGGCTGGGATGTGGCTGAGCTGCTAATATCTGGGCAAGTAGCAAGAGCTGGGGATAATGAGCAGGGACATCTGATGCTGAGAGGTCCCAGGTGAGCTGGGAAGTGATCTCACAGCTGGGGAAAGTCTAGTGGCCCTGGACAAGGACATCCTGCTTTCCTTCTCTCTTTGACTTGGAAACTCTTGTGAAGGGTGACAGTTGTGTGAAGACATGAGAAAACCAATCCCTTCTCTTCAATTCTAGGGTTTCAAGGTTTGTTGTGGTTTGTGTTAATCAAAACTCTTTATAACCTAAACCTAGAGTAGAGAAGCTCATAAAGACAGACAACAGAATGTGGTCACCAGGGGCTGGGAGGGGAGGGAATGGGAGGCTGTTGTTTAATGGGGACAGAGTTTCAGTCTGAGGTGATGAAAAGTTCTGGGGACGGATGGTGGTGATGGTGGCAAAACAACGTGAATGTACTTACTGCCACTGAATTGTCACTTAAAAATGATTAAAAGGATACATTTTATGTTATGTATATTTTACCACAATAAAAAAATATTTTACAAAAAAAAACCTCTGTATAATTTCAAGTGAGGAATTGCCAACTGCTCAGGATGTTTAGAATGGGGGGATTACAATTTAGTGAATATCTACTCTCTCGGCTAGCTCCTGTCCTGAGCACTTTACACACATTCATTCTAATCCTTAAAATAAAAAAAGAAGAGAAAAAAGGAAAGACAAACAAGAGCCTGCAAGGCTGCGAGGTGCGTCTTATTCGCCACATTTTGCAGAATCAATGTGGCGTCCTTCGGCAAGCGTGTTTCCGGTGAGATGGTAAAGCTGTGTGTTTGTGAATGATCCAGTGCAACTATTTGGGAGTTAATGGTTACACTAGGAAGTACAGCCCAGCTACACCATTCTCCTACAGTGGGGCTCCCTGGCGGGCAGCGCCCGTTGGCTTCGCCCCCCTCCCCTTGGGAGAACCGGGAGCTTCCAGATTTTTACATAAATTGGAATGGGCAGGTAAAAGCATAAAGTCCAGCAAAAGAGGACTAAGAAGAGATGTTTGATGTGACCACATTCAAACGACCTCTTAATGACAAGGCTGTGGTGACGTCTATGACACTTGCCAATCATGGTGACTGCCAAGGAGACTGCGGGCCTCTACACTGTCTCTAGGTCCCTCAGGACAGGGCCAGTGCCCTATTTTACTGTGGCACAGCCAAGTGACTGGGCCCTAACACGGGAACTCGACTTTCAGATTTGGATCCCAGTTCCAAATTGTGTCCCCTTGGGCAAAGGATGTAAACATCTCTGTGCCTTGGTTTGCTCACCTGCCCAACAGGGATGTTACGGCGACTCACCTGTCAGAACTGCAGCACATGACATAGATCCTGGAGAGGATCGTGGGTGTTCAGTACCGTCGGCCAGCTCTGGCTGGGAAGGCACTTGCCAGTCACCAGGCCCGGGGTCTGTCACAGGTGCTTAGTGGCAAGAGTGAGAAAGCAGCAGCATGCACCCACTGTGACGTCGCGAGGTGCTCCTGTTCTTCAGACAGCTCGGGCAAGAGCCTCCCCTGCACCGGGGGTGACCACCTGGGCCGCGCCCTGACCCCACTCCATCTCGGAGACGCACATGCCTTGAGGACTCAGGAGTCGGAGCCCCCACTGAGCGCAGGTGGGCTCTGTGCCGCTCGTCCCCCTTGATCCTTCTGGGCCTTCAGAATTTCCTTATTCATTTCTGTTTACCAGTATCACACATACTACGTGTTTTTTTTCTTCTTTTCTTTCCTTCCTGGCAAAGTCAGGGAGCTCCCCGGCTATAAGCGACCTGCAGCTGTGCCGTTAGAAAGTGCCCGGGCAGTCCCTTCCCCGCGGGCGTGGGGCCAGCTCTGGCTGTCACTGAGGGTGCCGCTCTGCGGGGAGACCCACGTGGCAGGAAGCAGCGAAGGCTCCTGAAGGAGTCGATCGCTGGCTGCGGGGGCTTCCGCTGACCTGTTTCGGCCCAGGGCCGGCCGACACGCTGGAAAGGGGCCTCTGCAATGACGAATAGGCACGACTGGACTAGGAGGAGAAAAAGTGAAATCCTGAGCTTCAAAGGTGTGGGAAGCAGAATGCTCCCTCAGCTTAGCAAACCCGCCCGGCCCTCCACCCCACTGCTCGCTAGGAGGTGCCTGCCTCGCCCACTGCCTGGCTCTCCCCCTCAGCCCTCCCCTCCGAGAAGTTTCTCTTTTGCCAGGTAGACTCCTTGTGACTTTATCTATTCAGAATTTGGAATAACAACACTCAGGGAAGAAAGGGCTCTTTGGGAGGGCTGAGGTGGGTTGGGGTAAAGGGAGGTGTTGGAGCAGTTAGCCAACCTGAGGGCAGTCAGAAGGGCAGGGGGAATAAAAGGGCACTTAAAGCCATGTTTCCAGCTCTGTGATCCCTTTTTTTCTTTTTAAGTACAGAACTTGAATTATTTTGAAATAACTGTTGGTAGCTGGACTGTGTTCTTTTGACCACAACATTGCTCTAGGACTGAACCACATGAGTCTCAGTTCTTTACAAATGTTACATAATAATAGTGGACCCCTGAGATCAGTTTCAAGACATGTTTCTTCCCAGAACCGCCTGGACAGCATCCCAAGCAAGGCCTAGGGCAGCTCCACGTCCCACTGTCCCCAGGACCTGCCTCTGTCTCTAAGTTGGCAGGATGAGGTGAATACTGCCCAATAATGTAAGACTGTTCATATTTGTGTAGAAAAGTCAACCACAGGACACTGTTCTAGAAGATTGCTTTTGGCAGGTGTAAAGCCATCAAACGCAAATCAAAACAAATCCAAATGTATCTTTTGAAGCACATGGACCAGATCAGATTGGTGAAGAATGGATACGTGATAGCATTTGGAGCAAACCTGCAGGATAGCGCTGCCTGAGAGGACTTGCAGCCCTTTAAAATTGCAAGTGGGTAGGATAGTAGACATGTCAAAGGTGTGTATCTGCACAGTTCCAACCACGAGTAAGGCAATTACAAAAGTCCGCATTTGCATATTTAAGGGCGATTGTCTAGACATTTGGACTCATGTAACTGGTTGAGTTTTTTCACTGAAAGCAGATAAACATAGCCAAATTTATGATGAAGTAAAGTTTCAATCTCACATGTAAACCTTAATTCTCCCATGATCTGAACAGACCATATTCAAGGCAATATTAAACCTGACCTCCTAAAATCATATAAATAATGCTCAATGTTTAAAGCCACAATTACTCCTCCAAAACAGCTTACCAAATACAGTCTTCTAAATATACCAGATATTCTCAATGTGTGCAAAATTTCTTTATCATGAAAAACAGTTAGCAAATAAAATTACAAACAGAAAATGCATACCATAATATAATGTATAATATAATGTAAATCATGACTCTTTCCTTATGTCTTTTTCTAAGATGTAATACTTTTCTCAGAAAATGTCACAACTTGTAAGTGTGGCCCAAACACACTAGAAGCAGCATTCTGAGCACAGCAGTGACAACATGGTTAAAATACCCTAAGACCATGGCCTCTCTGCTCCCATAATTTCCCCCAAATAGCATTATGAAATCATGTAATGGTAGTCAGAAGAAAACAAAACTATTGAAAATATCCTCCAAAAAAATGAAAAGATGCCAAAAGTCACACAAGGACTTAATAACCCCAGTATTTACAATGGAAAATAATGCTTCTGCCAGAAACCATTTTTACTAGCCAGGCTTTTTTATGCTTAATTTTATATACAAGCTGTTTGCCTGGATTTATGATTAAATTAATTTCTGTTCAACCTCCTCTAAGCTTTGTTACCTTGCTTTTACCAATACTGAACCATTTGAATGCTACATCAACAGCAACAAAAGTAAAAACTTACTTCTATATAGTGCATGCAAATTAGGCCCAGTTCTCATCATTAAAACAAGCCTAGGAGATAGATCCGATTACGTCACTCTGTACACATGAGAGAGCTGAACCACAGAGAAGTTGAGTAACTGCCCAAGGTCACACAGCTGCCAAGTGGCAGAGCTCAGATTTGAACCCAGAGAAGGCTGGCAGCAGAGACCATGTTTCCATCATTATTCTAAGCTAATACAGCATTTCTAGAACACTCAGTGTAACAACCCAGTGATTTTAATCCAAACTCACTGATTTTGCAAGTTACAGGATCTGTTTGCTCTTTGAACAAACTCTTTGCTCTTTTCCCCCCGCATTGATTGGATTCATGTTATCGCATCTGCACACAAGGCACAGTGAAGATGGGGGGAAAACTGGCTCCAATCCTGAAAGATTCAGAATCTCTGAGTAGGGTGAAGTCGTAGGAATTCCCTTTGTCCTATGGTGAGGGGAGGGGCTGAGCTCAGACTGTAGCATCTTCTCAGCACGTCCCTTTGTCCTCCGAGTCTTTCACACTGGAGTGAACAGGGACCTTCACTCTCCTCCCCCAGCTTGGGATCCCCCTCTCCTGCCCTGCAGTCCAGCCCTAGACCACCCTCACCCATTAACTCGGCTGGTCTCTCGTCCTGTTGCCCCTGCAGTCAGGTAGAACATCTTCATCTGATCCTTTTTCATCTGCAGGAGAAAGTCCAGCCTCCTTAGACCAGCACGGAAGGCCCTAATACATCTGCTGTGACCCCAGAGTCATCTCCTACCACTCCCCAAGAACTTCTGCCCAACCTAGGGAGCACTCTCTGGCTCCTACACCTTTGCTCATGCCATTGTCTCTTCTACTTGTTCCTTCCTGCTTGGCTTTTAAAGTCATATGCATCCTTTGTGGTCCAACTCACACACTGTCTCCTCCACACAGTCTCCCCAGCTCCAGCCCCTTCAGTGACAGGTCAAATGCTCTTCCTCTCTGCTGCTGGACCTTTGAACCTGCCTCTGTTAGAGCCCTGGAAACAGCCCCAGAGAGCACAAGGGATCCTGTCCTCCTCCACCACGCCCTCTAGACTGCAAACCCCGAGGGCAAGTCACCATGCTTTAATGCCTGTGGGACTTATACAAAGTCTCAAGAATCTGAAGATCAGTAAACTTGCCTCTCCTTAGCGCAACAGAATGTTCTACAGACTCCCTGCCCTGCAGGCTGAACCTGGGATGGCTCTGCAGGGAACGAGTTAGAGTGCCACCCGCACTGCTGGCCTGCCCTGGCCTCAGCTGACTTCTACCTCTCCGGAGAGGCCCCTGTAGCCCTCCCTGCCACGTGCCATGGGCTCCCCTGCCCGCCCCCATGTCGGTGCACACCTGTGGGGAGCAGACATGAATAACATTAAAATACAGTTCTGTGAGCAACATTACTCTGAGGCTTTGCACACAGCTCCAGGCAGCAGGGACAGGATCCGTCCCAGCCTGGGACATTAGAGAAAACTCCGTGCTGATGGTGGCCCTCCAATTGAAGAATGAGGTCAAGATGGGACCTGCTCATCCCCAAGCTGCCTGCCAGCACCAAGTTGGGCTGGTCCTCCCCCTGGCATCAGCACACACTTGCCCTGCGGGGGCCCAGGTTTGCAGAGCACTCAGGGACAGTGGGGAAGGAGTGCTGGGACGTGTGGGGACAACTTCAACACAGTGCCACAGGTTTCGTTCGTTACTCCAATAAACACCACTGAACGCACACTGCAAACCTGGCCGAGGGCTGATATTAAGGCCAGGAATACGAGCAGAACTCAGGGATCAGGACATGCCACCTCCCCACGCTCGGGGACAGCCCTGACTCAGATGTGACCACCTTTGCCCCAAGAACCAGCTACCAGGATAGCGGGGCTGGGCGTGGGCTGCATGTGGATGGGGAGGTTTCCCTGGGCAAATGACCACAGCAAAAGGAGGGGACAATGTCAGGGAGAACATGACAGACGGCAGAAGCTCCATGGTGACCTCAGCCTGGGGCGGGAGCCGCTGGCGGGGGCCTCCAAGAGGTTCCACGCTGAAGAGCGAGGTGCACAGCTTCTCCGTCACTTTTCTTTCCCCAACTGGAGCCGTGGAAGAGCTGTGGGTAGAGACCGGTTAAGAGCAGTCTCAGAAATCTAGTGCATTGCAGCTGGCATTGGGGTGGGGTGAGGGGCGAAGGGGTGGAGGTGAGAGTCGTTGAGGAGGGATCAGCAGACTTGGGAGCAGAGGAGCTGCCGGGAGGCTGCGGAGACTGGATTCTGCGTGTGCATCCCTGAGCTTCACTGCAGCTCCTCCTGACGCCCCTGGACTTATTCCTCGGCGAGTTACACAGGCTGCAGGGTTTGTAGACGAAAACTTCCTGGGCTCGTGCACACATGGAAATATCATGTTCTTGCTTTCACATTTACGTGATAACTTGGCTTCAAGTTTTCCTTCAAAATTTGCATAGATGTTCTCTGGCAGACAGGAGGCTAAAAATAGCCTGATTTTTGTGGGTATTTGTTTTTTCCTCTAATTTTAATTAAAAATTAAACAAACATCAGAATTTTTATTTAATTAATTTCTAATTAAATCATAATACCATGGTGCTCATAGGGGTTTTTAATGCATTTTATCAAGGGTTTCTTATATTTTTCTCAAGACAGAAATGGGTTTTTGTTGATCCTAAAATTTTCTTTCCTAATCTAATCCATAAACCTTCCTCTAATTATCTAGGTAAATGCTAATTTCTATGAAGCCCCAGAAGCTCTTCCCAGCACACAGTGCATTTTCTTTTCTTTTCTTCATCTTTGAGGGCGGGTGGTGTAGACTAGCTTGTCATCTGCAAGCCGACAAGGCACATGGCACAGGTATAGAGAAACCAGGGAGTCTGGACCCTGTACAGGTTATCTGTTGCTGCATGACGAATGTCCCCATGCTCTGTGGCATAGAGCAGCAACTGCTTTATCATGCTCAGACTTCTCCACTGCACATCTGTGTCAGGACAGGGCTGACCCAGAGGCCGAGCTCGGTGGGTCAGTCCACTGAAGAGCCTGTGCATGGCCTCCCCACACGGCCCAGGCCTCCCACTCAGGGCCGCTTTGTCCCCAGAGGGAAGGTCCCAGAGCATACACGCCAAGGCAGGCGGAGACACAGCACCTCCTCTGCCATGCTCCATTGCTGGAAGCCAACA